ATGTAGTTAAAATTTAAAAAAAAGAAATGTGTTTAAGGCTCATGTCTAAATGATGGCAGTATCAGGCAGTCTCCAAAACCATGCCAAGCTTGACTGCTTCCATTATAATGCAGAGACAAAATTTCATTATTTTACACAGCATAGTTCCTGGAAAAATAAAGTCAATGACTAAGCAGTAGTCCCAACACAGAAAATAGCTTTGCTTTGTAATACCGCCTACCCATGCTCAAGGTCAAGCCTCTGTGGTCAGCCATGCTCAGGGTCAAGTCTTTGTGTTCATTCCCTCCTGCAGGCTGGGCTTGGTTTGGTAGCAAGTTCTATGGAGAGGGTATCCTTCTCCCTGGCACCAGTCTTCAATAAAGAATCCAGGAGCCAGATCGCCCGGAGGTGCCTGAACCAGCACCACTTTTTAATATTCCCCACAATTTAGATTTTCATTGCTTACAAGTGGTTAATAACTTAGAAATTATTTTTGCCTCCAGTCCCACTTCTGCTTATGTGCAAAAGCACGTAGCCAGGCGCCCCCAGGACAAAGGTTCACCATAAATGCTGGTTCCCTTCCTTTCTCCTTACTGGCAACAATATTCAAATGTAATACATTCTTTGGCAGGCTATTTGACAACTTTTTCTGGCATCCTATCAGCCTACCATTGTTCAGTTTTTCAAAACTTCCACTTCTAAAAGCATGGCACCACACATATTTTCTTTGAACATGAAAGTAAACTTGCTTTGAGAATTTCATAAAGTCCTCTGACACAAAAGCAGGCTTAGAACCACAGGTTGGTAGACATAGTGTGAAAGAGGATAGAATGCAAGTTTGATAAATGATGCCAGCCTGAAAGCAGAGTTTCTATTAACTAACTGATCTTACAGATGAAAATGCATATAAACAATTGTCAGTCTGTGCAACAAACTCAGTGAACTTTCTGGATTTGGTTTTATGAGAAAAATATAGTCATGATATGCATTAAATTAAATAAGAAAGGGCCTCCCTGGTGGTGCAAGGGGTTACGCACAGCACTGTGAAGCAATCCCCAGCCTCTGCAGCATGAGTTCAATCCCCGGCCGACCAGGGAGCTACCCACATGGCTCAGCAGACCTCTCCTTGTCTCGTCCGGCCCCTCTGTCTGCCTGTTCTTCTCCCCACTCTGTCTCTGATGAATCCTCTCACTCTCCTGCACCTCTGGCCTGTACCCCAGTTCTTGTATGCATAAATAAATCTTAAAATAGTTAATTAATTAAGAAAATGCAATAGTCACTTGATCATTGTAAGATAGTGATTGCTTCTGTGATCATGTTTCACCACAGGCTTTACAAGGCCCTCTATATCTCTAATTACAGTTACCTGTGGTTGCAATGTTAGTTTAATGATGACAATTAGCAAGAAACACTACCACAGGGTGGGAGAATGCACATGATCTAGAGCCTTGAAATCCAGGTTTAAGCTCTGGATCTCAAGTGCTGTCACCTCTCTAAACACCAGTGTTCTCGGCCTAATGATGCCACCCTCCCTACCTCTATCATAGGCAGAATAATGCCCCTCAGACATATCCCTGTCCTAATCCCCAGAACCTATGGATATGCTATGTTACCTGGCAAAGAGGTACTAAGGTTGCTGATGGAATTCAGGCTGCTGATCACATGACTTTAAAATAAAGAGGGTATCCAGGATTATCCAGTGTACCCCATGTAATCACACAGGTCTTTCAAAAAGTTGGCCAGAGGAATACGTGAGTACAGAAGGCAGGCACAGAGAGGTGTAACGCTGCTGGCTTAGAGAGAGAGCCATGAGGAAAGGAATTTGGGCAACCACAAGACAATGGAAAAAGCAAGGAAACAAATTCTCTCCCAAGGCCTCCTATACGGAAAACAGCCCGGCTGAAGCTCAATTTCAGCCCAGTGAGTCCCATGTCTGACTACTGACTACAGAACTAGAAGTAATACATTTGTGTTAAGTCACTAAGTTTGAGGTAAACTATTACCTCTAACTTTCTGACAAAAAGTCACACTCTTGGTGTTCTTCTCTAGACCATGTTTCCCTTAGTTTGAATCTCTTAATTTCAGCATCCTTGGCCATTTGGGGAAGCTGAGGCATTCCCAATTAATCAAGGCCTTGTTCCATTAGGATTAAAATTCTTCCTTGTATCTTCTCTTTCCTCTCCATCTCACGGTAAGCAGCTAGCAGAAACCAGATCAAACCTTCAACACCTGGAAATCTCCTCAGTTAAATATGCAAGCTCCTCTTTATGGCTTCACTTTCCATATAACTGCAGGCCAGTTCTGCTAAGCTTCCTGCTCTTATATTCCTGCCTTTTCCAGGAAAAGGCAAGGAAATGGATTGCCTGCTTAAGTCTTCAGAATAGCCCTGCCTCACCCTTGATCATAGCCCTATGAGAGCCGGGATGGACTTCCATCCCACTGACCTGTGAGGTAATAAATGTGAGTTGTTTTAAGCTACTAAGTTTGTGATCATTTGTACAGAGGTCACAGAGACCTGATACACTCTTACAGGATTACTACGAAGAAGGAATCAACAATATCCAACTATCCACAGAAGTTCTGCTCTGCAACTGTGAAGGACTGGTGTGCCATGATGCTCTGTGAACAGGAAGTCTAGCGGAGGAGGGAGGTACACAGGCACACACAGCAGGACCCATGGTCCTGGTGGGTGCCCCGCTCCATGCTCCCAAACCAACCTGAGCACACTCTATCACAACACTCACTCAGCACCCGAGTTATAATATGCTGTGACATATTGGCTACTCAAATTTGTGTCTCCAAAACCTAGCATGGCACTGGCATGAAGTGTAGATGCTTAGTGAATCTGATATTAACAAAACACAGAAATGAATGCATAGGAAATGGTATGAAACAGGGACAGGGCCCTAGGAAAACCCATAAAAATGGATTTTCATGTTACTGTTTCTCTCATTTCCCACTTGATTGCCCTTAAAATGCCATCATTTTCTAAGTGTATTCCACAGAACACTAGTGATTTAGGGAGTGGGACCTTGAGAGTAAAGGGTCAAATAACTGAGTAAAGTGGGAAAACATTCCGATTTCTTTCTTGAAGAATGAAAATGCATACTTACATAATAAAGCTTTGAAAAGTTCTTTGGTAGAGAAAATTGTCTCGCTGATTTACCCCACAGTTTGAAAATGAAGCCCGTTTTTTTTTGTTTTGTTTTGTTTTGTTGTTTTTTGCATTTAAGGAACTGCGCTTTCAAACAAGCAAGCATCCTTTAAATGATCCAACCTGCCACAGGGGACCAGTGAGGAAGCAGGTGTGGTTGTCATGAGGTTTGCGTTAGAGCAGTGTCTGTTCTCCAACATCAGGGAGCAGCAAATCCCCTGGAGACTTTGCCACAGTGCACAGCACCCCTTCCCCTTGCCCTGTCCCCTTTAGATGGTGGGTTCCCCGCATAGGTTACAAGTCTCACGCTGTGAGGAGCTTCCCTTCTCAAGTAACCCTTGTCCAAGTACCACCCAATAAAGCTGTGTGCCTCTCTTGGACACATTATTTTTCTACACCAGCCTCCAAATCCCTGGAACTTTTTATACCTCATCTCCAGGCCTCTCTGCCTGGGTAGCTCCATATTTCTCAGCTGCACCTCCACATCCTCAGGGAAATACTCTCCTGGTCAGCAGAAATCTGATTATTACCCACACCCACTGCTCTCACTTGCTTGGTACCAGTTGCACCAAATTACAACTATAATTTTCTGAGATTAATTTCCTAGGATTATCTGGTTATCGTTCACCTCTCCCCAACATACAAACATACTAGGCTGTGATCTACAGCAGGCTCCCCATCAATTTTTCTAACCACTGAGACCCCATGAGCCAGGCAAGTGCTTGGCAACAAGTAGATTCTCAAAAAATATTTGTGTAGAACGAAAAAGAATAAAATGGCATGTCATGTTGGCATGAAAATGTCCAGATTCCTCTGAAAGCATATGCGCTTTGCTATCCTGGGATGTCAGAGTTTTGCCCTATCAGGTTCCATCTGTTCAACACAGGTATGGCCTTTCGCTTCTTTCTCTGAGCCTGACCCCTCCGACACTCACTCCACCGCCAGAATGATCTTTTCAAATCGCAGATCTGATTACATCAGCCCTAATCCAGCTGACTTGAGAGGAGAGAAGCGGGTGTTTTAAGAGGATCGTTTATCAATGTTTAGAAATGTATAATATACTGGGCCTCCCCTGGTGGCACAGGCAGTTGAGCGCCGTGCTGTGAATGTGTCCGCAGCCTCTGCAGCGCCGGTTCCATCCCGGCTGGCGAGGGTCCCACATGGCGCAGCAGACCTCTCCTGTCTCACCCGTTGCTCCCCTCAGCAGTGTATTTCGTCAGTCTGCTTGTTCTGCTCCCCACTCTGTCTCTGGTGAATACTCCCACCCTCCCACACATCTGGCCTCTACCCCAGTTCTTGTATAAAATAAATAAATCTTTTTTTTAAAAAATGTATAATATTCTTCCTATTTTCACACATGTGCAGTGAGTGACCATGAATAAATAGGAATCACAGTGAAATAGCTATTCTTCTGGACACTTAGCATCCTCTGCAAAATATCCTCATCCTACCTAAAGCTCTGTTGCCAGCTCCATCAAGTTCACTAAAGCCCACAATATGCATACCCATTACACTAAGTGCAAGCACAAGAGAAGGAGCCATTGGGTAATAAACACACTGAGGAGGGGTGGTGGGAAGGAGGACTTTGTGCAGCTACCAGGCCACTAATTCCTCCATTAAGCATTTCCGGTGCTTCTTATCTACTGTGGTGAGCCTGGCACATTTCCTATTGCTCACGGAACTTTCCTGTACAGCACGTGGCCCTTAATAGACAAAGACACGGAAAGTCATCAAAGGCAACAGAAGCAGCAACCGTGAAAACTCCGTACCGAAGGCGTGCCCGCAGTCCTGGCCCTGCGGCGTGGAGTAGTGCAGGCAGCCGGCTCTCTCTTCCAAGGGCGGGCAGGGCGCGCCACCGTTCCGGGGCTCCTGCTGCACCGAGCGCCTCCGCACGCGCACTGTGGGCTTGCACTGGTCCCCGCAACCACTCCAGGGGCTCCATTCCCCCACGATGCACGGGCGAGCTGAAAAACAACAGCAGGGGACGCTCATCTTGTTGTAGAGCAACCCCGATACAAAACGGGGGCAATGACTGCTGCAGTCTTTTTGCTCATTTTAGTTAATTTCGAATTCAAAACTGAGTATGTTGCTCCAGTGTCCACCAAGAAATCAATCAGACGATCCCCCACAGCGAGGGTTACCCGGGGCTCTGAGGGGGTTATTCTAATGGGCTTCTCTAGATCTAGTGGAGCCCCCGGGCACCCCTATTCTGCATCTGAACTTTCTCCATGAACTATCATCTGTCTCCTCTCCTCTGCACTTGGTTCTAGATTCCTTCTACTCTGTCTGTATTCCCTCCTATCTTCACCTGAGGCTCTACCCTGTGCTGTCATTTGTCTCCTGTCCTCTGTACTGGGCTCTCGATTCCTTCTCTGTCTGTATTCCCTGTCATCATCTGAGCCTCCACTCTGTGCTAACATTTGTCTTCTTTCCTCTCTCCTTGGTTCCTGGTTCTGTGTGCTCCTTCTATATTCCCTCCTGTAACCCCTACGTGAATCATCATGTCTTGGGGTTCTCTGTCTTCTATCCTGCCTTCTATAATTATTGCGTCTGCCGCTTCCCTGTAACCTGGGACAACTGTCCTTCCAATGTCCCTCTTCCCTACAGAAAGCACACTGATTTCTTCCTAGGGGTTCACGTCTCTGTCCATTATTGTTTCCTTGAAACCCTGTTCTGTGTTCTCTTTGTAAAAAAACAGTCGCAGGTTTCGGTCTCCTGTGCTCTCTATTATTATAAACCCTGAATGCCAGGTCCACTACCTGGGACGGACTCATCTCAGTGACGCCGTCCACCTTAGCTAACTTTTTCTTTATGTCTGGGGCACTATGGGTAATGAAAGCCGTAGTGATCAGACGAGCATTTTCTGGGGCATCTGGGTTTATGTCCGTGTGGTTAGTGTAAGTTTGAATAATCCTCTCAAGGAACTCTGACGGATCCTCATTAGCTCCTTGCTCGAGTTCCAATATTTTGTTAAAGTTTTTTTGTTTGGGGATCCCCTGCTTCAGTCCTACCAATAAGCATTTTTTATAGAGATCCAACATCGCCGTTCCTCCATTGTTAGGGTCCCATCCAGGATCTCTCTCTGGGACAACAACCTCCGGCTCTGGGGACTGCCTATCCTGTTGGTGGAGACGGTCAGCCTCCTCCCTGGCTTTCCTGAATACCATCCTCTGCTCATCCAGCGTTAATAAAGTATGCAGCATGGACTGTATATCTGCCCAGTTAGGGCGGTGGGAGACAAAGATAGAGGCAAACAAGTTCGCCATCCTCTGAGGAGCCTGCCGGTACGAGGGAACAGAGCTCCTCCAATTTAGGAGGTCCGCAGTACTGAACGGATGGTGCGACCAAAAGTACCCAGCAGGTCTCCCATGTTCATTTAAGCCACCCATTGGCATCTGGCGAAGGGGAAACTGCCCTGCCTCAGGTTGATCCTTCCTGCCAAAATGGGTGCCGAGTCTAGTGTGGGGAGGGGACGCCATTTTAGTGTCCTCCCCAGAGGGCAGTGGAGGCTGTGCAGCCTCAGGGGTCTGCACGGGAGGGGCTTTGTCACGTGGAAGAGGATTTTGTCCTCGTGTATTTAAAGTATTTAAAATATGATGCTCCTCCTCTTCTAACTCTGCTCGCTGGCTGTCCTCATGGAAAGGGGAAGGTCTATCCTTTCTCTGCACCATTAGCCTAGCCTTCGCCTCCGCCATATCTAATTTATGGAGGGCGGCCTGCATCTGGTCCTGCATACCTTTAAAAGCTGACTCAAAAGTCCGATTTTGTTGTTGCACTTGATACAGCATGCTTTGATAAGCTGACTCAAAAACATTACGATTTTCATCCCTTATACTCTTAATAGTTAAATCAAAAACCTGATTTAGTTGTTGTATGGCCACGTTAAAAGCCTGAATTTGTTGTTGCACATTCTCAGTATGTGAAGTAGAACTTCTACCTCTCACAGAAACAAGAATGTAGCAAACTGCGCTTACACATATTACCAAAAAACCACCCAGAAGCACAGTCTGTAAAGGGATGGCTTGTAAACCACCCATGTATGTATACAATAGTAAAATCACATGCCATACACCGGGCTTCATCAAATTATTTATATTAATGAAACTGGTGGTGATATTTAATGGAAGAAGGCTGCTCAAATTCAAGGCCGGAAGGAAACTGAAAGAACTCAGGCTAGGGATGAAACTGTATAGGCTCATGGTTGAGGCCATATTTGAGTCAAAACACACCCACAAGGGCTGTACGCACAGGGAAAAAAACAGACTTTTCAGGACTAGAGACAAATATTATACTGCTAGTCCTGCGGAACTAGTGCGCTTATGGTGACCAACGCAAGGGATGTTACTTTGGGCTGGTCAACCGCGGGTGTAACTTGGAAACCACGCTGGGCGCCAAACTGTTGTAGAGCAACCCCGATACAAAACGGGGTGCCTGACTGTGGGTCCTCACCCGCGCGCTTAAAAGGACTTATCAATGCTCTACTGCAGGCACACGTGAAAGGTTAATAAAAGGTTTATTTACAACGGAAAGGGAAATGAGGAAATGTACAGCTCTGGGAGAAAAGTGGGAGACAAAGTTTTAAATGCGTCCTACCCGATCCGCCGATCAGGAATCCCAAAATGGCGCTCTCAGTTGGCCGCCAGCCAGGAGCGGTGAAGCCAGGAGGCGAGCGATCGCGAGCCAGAGAGCGAGCAAGGCCCACGTGTTTGGTTTTTATATCCAACCTGGCTGCCCAACTCCACCCTCAGGTCCCAGCCACCCTCCCCTTGGTGGTGATGGGATTTGTCTTTCCCAATGTCCTGATGGCTTTAGTCTGGAGTGGGGGTGGAGTCCACAAAGCCTGTATGAGATTATCTCAGGACATCCTTTCCCCCTAACAATCTCAGTAACCCCAGCCGCATGTTGGGCTGCTCTTGCCAGCATCAGCGGTAGAGTTTAATCAGTAAATGGAGTTTTAACCCTCGTCAGGAGGGACACACAAAGCCTCTGCAGGCCCCAGTTGACGCTGACTCCACCCACCATAATGGTTAGCTGGTAACCTCCCCCAGGCAGGCAGATATTTCCGGAACAAGAAGGTGGGTCTGAGCCAAGGCCGCAGAGATGCTTTCGGAATACTTCCTCAAACTCCCAGGCTTAGGTCAGATCTTGCTCCTGTTTTCCCTTGATTTTAACTCTCACCTCCACATGCCGAGAAAATTTTTATTGTAACAGTAATACATATTCATTGGAGAAAACGTAAAGGAAAAAATATTTAAAAGAAAATGTCCTTCAGCCACCAAAAATCCCATCACCTACACAGGTCAATTCTTACTAGCAAATGTGCCTCCACAGGTATTTGTAAGGCCATACAAGGGACCCCTGCCTTAGGCTTCTGAAAGCTCTACCCTCATTCTCAAGGGCTCATAGACTCCTCAACTATGGGACTTGCAGCTAGAGATAAGCAACCTGGGCCCACACAGGTCAAGACTACTCGTGGACTTCCATGACCAGGCAGAATCAGGGCAGTTTGGGCTTTAGTCAGCAACCTGGCCAGACTGTAAAATCAATGTGGTTGAACATATACCTTTCCCATTTAAAGTCTTAATGAGTCTTCCATTTGTGGCAACATGGATGGAGTTGAAGGGATTATGCTAAGCAAAATAAGCCAGAAAGAGAAACATAAATACTGGATGGTGTCAGTTAAATACAAAGAAACCAAACAAAGGGTCAGACAAAGACAAACTTTAAAACTAACCCTTGAAAGCTGACCATAGACCTAAGGCATCCAGAGGGGGAGGGGGAGACATGAGAAGGGGGTGCAGAGGAAGGAGAGCACATTGGACTATGGATGCCTTGGTGGTGGGAGCGATAAGGTGACCACACTCCAGGAGCGAAATCCTACACTGTCAAGAAATTAACAAGGATGTAAAGCAATGGTACTTCATTTTAAAAAATAATAAAATTAAAATAAAGTCCTAATAATGAGTTTTAAAAATTAATTATTTGGGGGGCCGCCCGGGTGGTGCAAGGGGTTAAGCCCTGCACTATGAAGCAATCCACAGCCACTGCAGCACAAGTTCAAACCCTGGCCGGCTAGGGAGCAACCCACATGGCAGAGCAGACCTCTCCTGTCTCGCCCGCTGCTCCCCTCAGCATCTGCCTGTTCTGTTCCCCACTCTGTCTCTGTTGAATCCTCTCATCCCCCGTATCTCTGGCCTGTACCCCAGCTCTTGTATGCATAAATAAGTAAATCTTTAAAAAAAAAAAAGAATTATTTTGGGACTTGAAATTGTATATAAGAACAAGAAACCAATGTACCTCTGAACTAGATGCCAGACCTCTTATCTTTCCCACAAAGTGGGCACCATATGAAGGTAAGAAAGAGAGTAAAGATAACTATTATTCTATTATTTTCCTTCACAATCACCTTCATTCTTTTGAGTTATAATATCTTCACCAAGAAAGCATCCCACTTCTTTACAAGTTTGATTAGAGCTTCTGGCAGTTTGTATTGGAAAACTTACTGTACCTCTCAGAATACTCTAGCTGAGGGTTCATGACTTTTGATCAATGTGTCATTTGGCAATGCATAGCAACCCCTAATGTGAAAAGGGTAACATGCAACATAGGTGTCTGTTGATGATTCAAAAATTTCAAACAGTTTTAAAATATTTTTGTTAACCATCTAAAAATTCCCAACTATCACTGATCATCTACCTGTTTGAGTAATTCATCTGTTGGGGGAGAAAAGGATGTTCTGAATGAACTCCACAAACACAGGTTTTATGGACTTTACCTCCATCCCAGACCAGAAATTCAAGACACCAAAGCTACAAATCCCATAATGCAATCACCACCAAAGGGAGGAATGCTGGGAACTAAGGGTGGAGTTAAGTAGCCGGGCTTGATATATAACCAGACATGTGAGCATTGGGGGTTTTTAGTTTTTCACAGACCTTCAGTGTGCTATTGGGGTCCCAGCTCA